GTGTGTGTGTGTGTGTGTGTGTGTGTGTGTGTGTCCCCGGTGTGCTGTAGTGGACAGAGTGATGGATTAGAGCTTAGGAGAGTTGGATGTGAATCCCGGCTCAGTTGGTTTGAAGAAATGGACTTATCCATGAAAGCTCATTCATTGTAAAATATAGCAATTAGTCTTTAAGGCGTCGCCATGTTTTTCTCTTCTTTGTTTTTTATTGCTGCTTTGTTTTGGCCGGATATGCTGAGTTGTGAAAACTCGCTGGGGAGTGGTGTGGAACTGGCAAAAATAGAAACTCTATAAATATGTCACTTTTACCTCAAAAGGTTGTTGTTTGTTGACCCCGACGTGAGGTCACACAACACGTACACAGTCCAGAATGTAAGACAGAGGGCCAGATTGGCTCCAACAGAATCGCCAATGTTGTGATAGGATAGGGGTTGTCAACTGAAACCCCTCTCTGGAGAAGGCCAGTTTGCACCCCTGCGCTCAACAGTGCGCACAACTACTGGCCAGTGTGATGTTCCATCTGCCACAGCCATGACCTGCTATGGGTTATCGACCCATTATTCTCAGACATACTTTGGACCCAGGATGTTTCTCTGAGTCCATCCTGCCCATCAACCTTCCTATAGAAATGCCCTGCTCAGGAAAAGCGGCTTTTTTGTTTCTGTTGTGGGTGGGATCCCCATTCTTTGAAAAGGGACATCAAACACATCACACACGTTTCAGAGGCACCAGCCCCCTCCGTCACGCCGGACAGTTCAGTGGTTTGGCCCTTCGGCACCCCCCCACCCCATCCCAGTGGTGCCTCTCTGACAGGAACTGGCCTTGATGACCCATAGGGTCCCTTCCAGCTCTGCAGTTTTGGATTATTATCATCAAACAGCTGGATAGTTCAGCGGTTTAGATTTCTGGACGTTCGATTCCCCGGTGTGCCTCCACGGCAGGGGCCGGACCCGATGGTCTCTATAGCAGTAGCTCTCAAACTGAAGTCTCCAGATGTTCTTGGACGGCAGCGCTCGGAAGAACGCACCTCTTGCTCTGCTGGCTAGGATTTCTGGGAGTTTTAGTCCAACCACTGGCCTAGAGCAGGGGATCCCAGATTTTTCGGACTGAAACTCCCAGAAGCCTTCGGCACTCGCTCTGCCGGGCAGGCTTTTTGGGAGATGCCCTCGAAGAACATCTGGGGGACCCAAGTTTGAGGACCCCTGATCTATATAGGGTCCCCTTGCAGCTTTACCGTGCTAAGATGATGATGATCATCTGTTGCAGCCAACTAGAAGAATCTCGCCGTCTCTCTAGGAGTCCAGCTGCTGCAGCATCTCTTCTGTTCGCCTCCCGGGGGAGAAACTCACACGCACAAAGCAGGAAACCTCTTTTCCGCTGGCCTGGCTTGGAGGAACTGGAAGGGCTCGAACCATTCCCGCCGGCTTTTCCAAGGATCCCCATCGGTCCTTCCTCTCCCCCCCCCCCGCTGGAACCACCA